ATCTCAGCCCAGAAACGTCATGCCCAGCCGCGTTCGTCCCACCCTAACAAAGCCAAGCTCAGCCTAAGCCTGGCCTGCCGAAGCCTAGTCCAGGCCGGACCAGTGTTGCCAACCGAACAATTTTTTGGCACTAGATTTAAACAACTTTATGAGTTTCTATAGCAACAAAAAATTGAGTTTTTGTCAGTCTACCGAGTGTAATACTGCGCGGAATCATGTCGAGCGACATGGCTGCCAATTAAGGTATCCCTTAAGGATCCTGCATCATTTTACATTTGTCACCACATTCTCCGGATCGTGTGACACTTCCCGGAAAGAAACGCCCCAAATTTGTTCCCAGTCAGAGATGAAGTTATACGGATCTGGTCACGCACACACACGTGTACTAGCAAACACACGTGTACTAGCAAACACACGTGTGTGCGTACACGTGTACGCACACACGTGTACGCACACACACACGTGTACTAGCAAACACACGTGTACGAGCAAACACACGTGTAGATGCAAACACACGTGTACGCACACAAACACACGTACACACAAACATACTCACACACGTGTACGCACACACGTGCACATGAAAACACGTGTACGCGCACACACGTGTACGCCCACCCACGTGTACACGCAAACACACGTGTACATGTAAACACACACACGTGTAGATGCAAACACACACGTGTACGCCCACCCACGTGTACACGCAAACACACACATCTGCCGGATTGCAAGGCGCACCACCAAACGTTTCCTCTGGAACACAGGAAGCAAGTGCGTGTTGTAATCTGGAGAATGCGGTAACGCTGCCTCAGTCGTCAGCCGGCGTTGCTGGCAACTTGAGAATGTCTGCCTAGCGACGTCAAATCAGCTGCCTGAGGATCACTCGGCGACTTCCTCAGCCTTGTCAAGACCACCGACTCAAAAGAACTGAATGTGCCCCATTGTCGTATTAGTTTATCGTCATTTGCAGATTGTGATTGGTCGTTGCCCCCAGGGCCGTTTGCGAAGCGGGGTTCCCGGAGTATCATGGCCGGAGCCTTCTCCACACGCGGGGCCTCCCAGAGGCGCATGACAGCGGCTAACGATTCGTGCCTGTGGCGATGAGTCCCGGTGAGGATGCAGCCGATGAGCGCGGTTGGCTACGTTCGGTGCGAGATAACTTGGGACGTGCATTCTGCAGGGTGCTTGTGGGATGGCCGTGTTAGCCCAACTAATTTCTTCGAACTGCTCGTCGTTGTTGTTGACGTTGTGGTGTTTAATTTGTTGTTCTGCCCCCTCCCCGTCGCGCCACCGATTTGGCCACGGTTGCCGACGTACGGCGCGCAAGATGACAAAACGGGCCACGCATTCGGTTATTTTGGTGGTGACGGTGGTTCCGGACACAGCCTTCTTGCCCGTTGTTCAATCTTATTTAAGCAGTTTCGCAAGCGGGCGACCGGGTCCCGAGCAAAGCGAGCAAAGCCGAGGCAGCCAGCCAGCGTTGTCGGCCGAGCAGCCTCGGAACAAACTTTTAAATTGTAGTGTTTTTATAGGAAATGAACTCTACCGATATGCTGAGTAACGGGAGAGGAAATCTAGAAACGCAACCGCGCAGCAGCAAATGTTGCTTTGCGGCAAACGAGAAAGAAAAGTGCCTCTGCCGTTTTATTTTTTAAGAAACTCGAGTCCCGATGAATCTTGAAAGAATATAAATGATGTATACGATTGTTTGCACGGTGCTGTTTTGTGCGTGCGTGCGTGTGACACTGAGAGCGGCAGCCAAAATGTTGCCTTAAGTTTCTATTTATTTTTGGAACGTTTTTAAAGTTGGGTGCCCCGTGACCCGGGGGCGAAATATAACTTGACCCGAAAGGTCAAGTGGGGGTGGGGGAGAGGGGCAAACGTCTAAAAATAATATTCTTAATTTGAAGCTTTCGTGACTGCAGGAATCCATACTCGTGGGTTCTTTCGGTAAAGTCACGTGGGTAGAAATAAAATAAAAAATAAATCACGACGTTTCGATTGCAACACAAACAATCATCATCAGGTGGGAAAACCACAGCAAAAAAAAGGTTCCCCCCCCAATCTATATAATTACGGCCTTGCCACCACCACAACCAGCACCATACCACCACCTTCACCAACTCCCCACAACCACACCACCACCACGTTCACCAACTCCCCACCACCACAACCAGCACCATACCACCACGTTCACCAACTCACCACCACCACACTACCACCACCAAGTTCACCAACTCACCACCACAACCACGCTCACCAACTCCCCACCACCACCACGTTCACTACCACACCACCACGTTCACCACAACCACACTACCACCACCACGTTCACCAACTCCCCACCACCACCACCACACTACCACCACCAAGTTCACCAACTCACCACCACCACGTTCACCACCACACCACCACGTTCACCACAACCACACTACCACCACCAAGTTCACCACCACACCACCACCACGTTCACCACAACCACACTACCACCACCAAGTTCACCACCACACCACCACCACCACGACGGCGACACGAGGCACGGAGCCGCAGACTCGGCCACGCCCCAAGCCGGTGGCGACCTCTCATCGGGGGCGACTCGCACGAGGAGGAGCCACGAGGAGCCACGAGGAGCGCTCCTCGCACACGCACTCACACACTCACGCGCACACGCACTCACACACTCACGCACATACACACTCGCTCACACACACACTCGCACACTCACACGCACTCACACACGCGCACACACATACACACACACTCGCTCACATACACACACACGCACACACTCGCACACTCACACGCACTCACACACGCGCACACACATACACACACTCGCTCACATACACACACACGCACACACTCACGCACACACACTCGCTCACATACACACATACGCACTCGCACACACGCACTCACACACACGCGCACACACATACACACACACTCGCTCACATACACGCACTCGCACACACGCACACACTCGCACACTCACACGCACTCGCACACACGCGCACATACATACACACGCACACTCACGCACACACATACACACGCACTCACACACTCACACACTTACTGACGCACACACACACACACGCGCGTGTCCGAGGAGCGCCCTCGTGACTCCTCGCTCAAATCCGTCCGCGAGCTGCCACGTGCCCCGCGTGACGCGCAGCTCTCGGCCTGCGGTCACGTGCCCCGCGTGACGCGCAGCTCTCGGCCCGCGGTCACGTGCCCCGCGTGACGCGCAGCTCTCGGCCTGCGGTCACGTGCCCCGCGTGACGCGCAGCTCTCGGCCCGCGTCACGGGCGGGCCCCGCGGGGGGGGCGTGTGGGGTGGAAGAACAGGATCGCGACGGCGGGTGGGGGGTGGGGGGGGTGGAGGAGGGGGTGGGGAGGTGGGGGATGGTGGGAGGGGGGGTGTGGGAGAGGGGGTGAGGTAGAGGAGGGTGGAGGAGGTGGTGGGGTGGAGGAGGGTGGAGGAGGAGGTGGGGGGGTGGTGGAGAGGAGGAGGTGGGGGGGTGGTGGAGTGGAGGAGGCTGGAGGAGGAGGTGGGGGGGGTGGGGGGTGGTGGGGGGTGGTGGAGGAGGTGGGGGGGTGGTGGAGTGGAGGAGGCTTGAGGATGAGGTGGGGGGGTGGGGTGGTGGGGGGTGGTGGAGGAGGTGGGGGGGTGGTGGAGGAGGTGGGGGCGGTGGAGGAGGTGGGGGTGGTGGAGGAGGGTGGGGGAGGGGAGGTGGGGGGGTGGAGGTGGGGGGGGAGGAGGGTGGAGGAGGTGGTGGGGTGGAGGAGGCTGGAGGAGGAGGTGGGGGGGGGTGGTGGAGGTGGGGGTGGGGAGGTGGGGGGGTGGAGGAGGGGGGTGGAGGAGGGGGTGGGGAGGTGGGGGGGGAGGTGGGAGGGGGTGGGGAGGTGGGTGGGTGGGGGATGGTGTTGGAGGGCAGGAGGAGAATGGGTGCGGCAGGAGCGATGCCCCCAAGGATGAGAGGAGGACGAGGGGGAGGGAGGAGGATGGGGGAGGGGGGGAGAAGGAGGGAGGAGGAGGGGGGTCCCTGACATCAGCATCATCATTAGCATAATTAACATCGTCATTAGCAACGTCATCAGCATCGGCATCAACATCGCCATCATCAACGTCATCAGCATCGCCATCAACGTCATTAATATCTTCATTAGCATCATCATTAGCATAATTAACATCGTTATTAGGATCCTCATTAGCATCATCATCGGCATCGTCATTAGCATAATCAACATCGTCATTCGCATCGTCGTCCGCCCTGTGGAAGAGGTCGCCGCTGCTGCTGGTGCTGCTGCCCCCGTCCTGAGACATCCACCCCGGGGGAGATTGAAGTCCTCCTCGGGGTGGCGTTGTTCGTTTGGCCTCTCGTGGTGTGAATGTTTTAACTCTCCTGTCCACCCGGCGGCACTCTCAGGGTGACGACGCATTGACGTGCACTGCAAGTCGATGGCTGGGTGGGGGGATTAGTGGGCTAGTGGTTAGGGTGGGTGAGTGAGAGGGTGGGTGGGTGAGTGAGAGGGTGGGTGGATAAGTGGGTTAGTGTGGGTGGGTGAGAAGGTGGGTGGCTGGGTGGTAAGTGGGTGGGTGAGAGGGTAGTTGGGTGGGGGGGTTAGTGGGTTAGTGTGGGTGGGTAAGTGAGTTAGTGTGGGTGGGTGAGAAGGTGGGTGGGTGGTAAGTGGGTGGGTGAGAGGGTAGTTGGGTGGGTTGGATAAGTGGGTTATTGTGGGTGGGAGGGAGTGTGGGTGGGAGGGTGGGTGGATAAGTGGGTTCGTTTGGGTGGAGGGTGGGTGAGAGGGTAGGATGGGTGGGTGCATAAGTGGGTTAGTGTGGGCGAATAAGTGGATAGTGTGGGTGGGAGGGAGTGTGGGTGGGTGAGTGAGAGGGGAGGTGGGTGGGTGGATAAGTGGGTTAGTATGGGTGGGTGAGTAGGTGAGAGAGTGGGTGGGAGAGTGAGTGAGAGGGTGAGTGGATACGTGGATTATTGTGAGTGGCCACAAGTGAGTGATTGGGTGGTGCATGGATAAGTGTGTTTGCAAATGGATGAGTGACTGAGTGGGTGGATAAGTGGTTAATGAGTGTGAGTGGGTCGGGGTGAGTAGGTGAGAGGGTGGGGGGGAGTAGGTTTGTGAGTGGGTGGGTGGCTGCGTGGGGATGGTTCAGCGGGTTAGTGTGAGTGGGTGAGAGTGTGAGTGAGTGTTTGGCTGGGTGGATGGGTGAGAGGGTCAGTGGGTGAGTGGCTGGGTGAGTTAGTAAGGCTGAGTGAGTGGGTGTTTGGCTGGGTGAGTGGCTGGGTGAGTGAGTGAGAGGGTGAGTGGTTGAGTGGCTGGGTGAGTGAGTGGGTGGGGTGAGTGGCTGGATGAATGGGTGGGGTGAGTGGCTGGGTGAATGGGTGGGGTTAGTGGCTGGGTGAGTGAGTGTCAGGGTGAGTGAGTGAGAGGGCGAGTGGGTGAGTGGGTGAGTGAGTGAGGGTGAGTGGGTGAGGGTGAGTGGGTGGAGTGGGTGGGTGGGGTGAGTGGCTGGGTGAGTGAGGGTGAGTGTGGGTGAGTGGCTGGGTGAGTGAGTGATCGGGTTGACACCTGTCCTGGTTTTCCCACGATCGTCCTATCGAGTGAGGCAGCTGCTGCCCATTTACATCCCGCGCCTTGTCAGTCGTGTAAAAGTAATAATTCACCACTCAAGCCAAAGACAAAGATCCCCCGTATAGTCTTAGCAGACTTTTGGGGCAAGCGCTGTTGGCGTGTGGCACCTATGAAGGCGGACACAGTACAAGGAAGGGGGTGGGTGGCCAGCACCACGCGTGACCGCCTTTGTCTTCCCAGTGGCGATGTTTACACCACACCGCACCAGGTACTCATTTGAGGCCGACTTTAGGGGAGACCCATGACCGGTTCAGATGATCGTCACCGCTGTTGGTCGCAGGGTGCGCCACCACTCCACACTTAAGTTCACACAAACACACAAACTCCACTCACTCTGTAGAACAGGGAGAGATCATACAAACTCCACTCACTCCCTCTGTAGAACAGGGGGAGATCACACAAACTACACTCACTCTGTAGAACAGGGGGAGATCATACAAACTCCACTCACTCACTCTATAGAACAGGGGGAGATCATACAAACTCCACTCTGTAGAACAGGGGGAGATCACACAAACTCCACTCACTCTGTAGAACAGGGGGAGATCACACAAACTCCACTCACTCACTCTGTAGAACAGGGGGAGATCACACAAACTCCACTCACTCACTCACTCTGTAGAACAGGGGGAGATCATACAAACTCCACTCTGTAGAACAGGGGGAGATCACACAAACTCCACTCACTCTGTAGAACAGGGGGAGATCACACAAACTCCACTCACTCACTCTGTAGAACAGAGGGAGATCACACAAACTCCACTCACTCACTCACTCTGTAGAACAGGGGGAGATCACAGAAACTCCACTCACTCTGTAGAACAGGGGGAGATCACACAAACTCCACTCACTCTGTAGAACAGGGGGAGATCATACAAACTCCACTCACTCTCACTGTAGAACAGGGGGAGATCATACAAACTCCACTCACTCTCACTGTAGAACAGGGGGAGACCATACAAACTTCACTCACTCACTCTGTAGAACAAGGGGAGATCACACAAACTCCACTCACTCACTCTGTAGAACAAGGGGAGATCATACAAACTCCACTCACTCACTCTATAGAACAGGGGGAGATCATACAAACTCCACTCTGTAGAACAGGGGGAGATCACACAAACTCCACTCACTCTGTAGAACAGGGGGAGATCACACAAACTCCACTCACTCACTCTGTAGAACAGGGGGAGATCACACAAACTCCACTCACTCACTCACTCTGTAGAACAGGGGGAGATCATACAAACTCCACTCTGTAGAACAGGGGGAGATCACACAAACTCCACTCACTCTGTAGAACAGGGGGAGATCACACAAACTCCACTCACTCACTCTGTAGAACAGAGGGAGATCACACAAACTCCACTCACTCACTCACTCTGTAGAACAGGGGGAGATCACAGAAACTCCACTCACTCTGTAGAACAGGGGGAGATCACACAAACTCCACTCACTCTGTAGAACAGGGGGAGATCATACAAACTCCACTCACTCGCTCTGTAGAACATGGGGAGATCACACAAACTCCACTCACTCACTCTGTAGAACATGGGGAGATCACACAAACTCCACTCACTCGCTCTGTAGAACATGGGGAGATCATACAAACTCCACTCACTCGCTCTGTAGAACATGGGGAGATCACACAAACTCCACTCACTCTGTAGAGTCGAACCCACGCCACCTTCTTGGCACGAGCGTCACCGCCGATGCCGACCGTGACCCCCAGCCGGTGCGTGGGTGCCAAGCGTTGCCAAACGTTGAGCTAAAAGGGCAAATCGCAGCACGCTTGGTCTGGTCGGCAATGCTTGGAGTTTGACCGTCGGCCCGTGAAGTC